TATCAGATGTTTTCTATAGCTTTTGTTGAGTTTTGGCTGTTTTTGTTTCTTGTTCGTTTGTGTACAAGTGATCAGCGAGAAGAGTTCAGTGATAGCGATTGTCATTAGATTAATTTCTCTTGGTTTACTATATATTAATAGAATAGATATTATTGCAAATCAACAAAAAGCACTACATTTATTCTTAAAATCAGTAGCAAAGAGATCTTTTCTAAGAATTTTTTATATTGGTGAATGTTATTATTATGGGTATGGGGTTATTAAAAGTATTAAACGATCTTTTAATTGATATTTAGAAGCTTCTAAAGAAGAAAATGCAAGATCAAAAAATAAAATTAGATTTTGCTATGAATTTGGTGAAGATATATCTGAAAACACATCTGAGGCTTTTAAATATTATATGAAATTAGCTAAAATTGGAAATTGTTTGGGCCTTTGAAATCTTGGTAGTTTCTACCATTACCATTAATGTAATAAAGAAAAGGCTGTTAAATATTATATAAAATCTGCAGAAGGAGAAAACAAAATAGGGCAAAATATTCTTGGATATTGTTATCAAAATATAATCAGAACTCTTGTAGTAAAAAGAAAGCTTTTGAATTATTTTTAAAATCTGCTGAAGCAGGTTATGAACCAGATAAAATAAATCTTGCAAATTGTTATAAAAAAGGAATGGAAACTCCTGTAGATTATGAAAGAGCCACAATACTTTTAAGTAACATAAAAAATAAATATTCTATAGAATAGGTAAGCAAACTCTACAAACTCCGCAACTCCGCTATTAAAAAATTAATGATTACTAATTATTAGCGAAGCTTATTTCTTATAATGGCCACCTATTCTATAGAATATCCTAAAAAATAAAACCTTAATAAAGTATAAATATATTTGATAATTTTTTAACATTTTAATATTGGATATAAAATACAGAGTATTTTATTTGGAATGGATGAATAGTAACTATTATATATACAGAATAGAATGATTCTGTCTACTTTAGAGTTATAAATTGATCTATTGAAAACTTAGTTACCAAATGATATAAAAAATGTAACAATAATCGATAGCAGTCATTGGTGTTTTAAGCTATCCAACTTAAAAAATTTCTCTATTAATATTAGTATTAGGTTTTACAGCTTTACTTGTTTCTCGAAACCTTTTTGATCTCATTCTAAGAACTATCTAACTTTTTGAAAATTACTTTGCTGTCCTTGAAATATTGATATAAAGACAGTGATGTAGTTTCCGAAAAGTTAGATGCCTCCTAAAACAAGATCAAGAATTTTTTTCAGTAATGAACAAATTTTTAGTTGTCTCAGAAATTATGAAACATTTGTAATGAATTTTTTTGTTTTACCAGAACTGAGGATAGAAAATTTTTTATTGCATATTTAAATGGATATCATCATATTAAAAGCGCAATGATACAGTAGTAGTATATTGTCATTTAAAAATATATGACATTTGCCATATGACCCACTATGAACTGAAATTTAGCTGCATAATGTATTATATGTAGAATACTGTGAAATAAATTGTATAAACAGACAAAAAATTCTTGAATCAAGTTAGCTGAAAATGTTTATCATGAAATTTCAAAAATTATATAACACAGCTTTTAATTTGTAACGCCCCATTATTTTTTTTTCTTGCACTGATCTATCATAATATCAAATTACTGTGATCAGCAGATTTCATGTATCACTGGAAATTAGAAATCTAAAAAAAAATACCAATATCGATATATGTTTGGCAATTATTATAAAATGCACCTATAGTGGTTTTGCGCCTATCATTTGTTTTTATTATGCTTTTTAAAATTTCTAAGTTTTTATAAGTTTTGTATATAAAATTTTTAACACCAATTTTTTCATGCTAAAGTTAATATTAAGGTTAGGATTAGGGTTTGGGAGGGGTTTTTAGGGGCATAGAGCATTTTTACTTAGAACACCTTACATCTATTAACTAGCTAGTTTTTGAGACAATGTATATATAGGTGTAAAACACTATAGGTGCAATTTAGCAAAATCCATGTTTGGTTAATAAATTAGTTAAATAATTATTAGCCAATCATAGATTGATATTTATTTGTTTTAGAAGGTCTGGCTAAATTTTTGTAATAACAAATTAAACGAATTGTACGAAAATGTATATTGTGTCTTCTTTTGAAACAATGTTCATTCATAAAAGCTTTCAATTAATCATCTCTTAAGCTGCAATATATACTGCAATTCAATATAATCAGACATAGATCACTCGTAAGTAAATTTTCTGAAAAGGTACGTACGTCAGAGTGCCCTAATTTCCTACCACTTCTGATTGGCTGTACTAATTATTCATTTATCAGAGCCAATCCAAATTCACGATCAGGTGTAACGTAAAAGAAACACAAAAAAAAAAGCAAAAATTAAAAATCGCCCATAACTCTAAATTCAATATATGAAACCGTCTTCTATGCACTAATAAAAAATTTTTCTTGTAAAATTTTGGTATAAGAAATGTCTTATAATTTAATATAATACCAAAATATTAATTCTAGTCTAACAGCGTAAATTTTTACTTAAAAATTTTTTTGATTACTAATATAAATACTCCATTATTCTCGCTTGGATAACTTTTTACTTTATTATGAAGAAACAATATGGGAGTAGTGCTCTCCGCTGCAAATCATGCATATCACGTGACGAAAAAACAAAGAGAATAGAATGCAAGTCGTGGTCAAAGAGAAACTATTCTACGTTATTCATTAATATCCCCTTAGCTTATTTACATCATCTCTCTTACTCATTCTTATTCATCTTCCATTCTACTTCCATTTCTATTTTTCATTTTTATTCTTTTTTCTCTCTTTTTTTTTTTTTTTTTTGTTTACTAGCAACCTAGCAATATTCAATTCTGTAAATTTCAATGATGCCCACGCATGGTGCAGTGATCATAGTCACATTCTAAAGCCAAAGTTCACATATTTAAGGTAATGCCCACGCAAAGGTGTGGCGATTTTCAGGGATGCCCACGCGAAAGTGCAGTGATCCTTAGTTATATTCCGAAGTCAAAGCTTTGTCAAATTTAAGATGATGCCCACGCAAAGGTGCAGCAATTCTAAAGGACACTCACACAGAGGTCCAGCAATCCTTAGCTCATCATTCTATCTCTTCTTCATTCATTTATTCATTTATTCATTTTT